CGCGAGTCGTATATTAATGACTACTTTGACAGTATTAATTACAACACGCTTATCGAAAATTGGATTTATAGTAACGTGGATTATTTCCCGTGGTAACGAGTGTATGCGTGTGTGTGTGTGCGTAAGTGTGTTTGTCTGTGTGTAAATTAATCGGCCCGATCGATCCCCATCGCTTTGTGGTTCTGCAAACATTTAGAACGTTCATTAATTCGCCGGATGGTATACGCCGAATAGATTTGGCGGCCGTTTTAAAATTTATTAGCTGACGGTATGTCTAATTAATTTTAGTCCATTGATTTATCGACGATTCTCCCGCGATTGCTGTGTTTGTTATAAATATGCCACACACGGCATGTGCCCGCTCGCATACTGATGTAACGGTAATACAGCGTAAGTAGAGCAACGGAGCCAGTTATATTTTCCTCGTTTTGCCAAATAAAGGGACCCGCGAAGGCACTTAACGTTAAACATAGCCGCGAAGGCACTTAACGTTAAACATAGCCGCGCTACAGTAGCCCCCTTTTTTACGACTCTATCAAGGGAGAGATAAAGAAGGAGAGAGAGAGAGAGAGAGAGAGAGAGAGAGAGAGAGAGAGAGAGAAGGTGGGAGAAAAAGGGTACACGTGCCAACGTAATTAGCCGTGAACAATCGCGCGTCTCGCGGTACGTTGTTCTCCCGAGCGAGAATAATAATCGTTATCGCGGTAGCGCGCGTATGTGTCGTGAACCGTATGCAACAGCGCGGCGCGTAATGACCATTCGTAATACAAATTGTTTTCCGATTCGCCCGACTTTTCCCTGATTTATCCCGTCGGCCCGCCGCCCCGCGACTTAATTATTCGTACATCGATTTATCCTCGAATTTCCGCCGTTTACCGCAGAACTGTCTACTACATGCCCCAGCTATTTCTGTATTCCGTCACATGTCCGCTTCGATAATGTTGACGCGGTTAGCCGGATTAATCTCCGCGAACCTTTGCGCGCGGCAGCCTCTATCACACGCTCGGCGCACGAACGAATTCGTTGCGTTTCCTCTCGTGCGTACGCATCGTCCGTCTCGCACGCGTCGAGTTAGTACCGAATTAAACTCTAATCTCGCTTCCCTTTTAGCTAACCCTTCGCTCTGTCTCCCTTTCGTCCTCTCTTTCTCTTACCCTGCCTCTCGTATCCTTCCCTCGGTGCGACTCTCGCCTCATGTCGAGCGCGGAGCTGTACGAGAACCGCGATCGATTATCGCGTGAGAAGTGACCTTACACATCGCGATAGAGGCTTTAGCGGGTCGCGACGAAAGGTTTCGACGGTAACACCGGTGTCTCCGGTTCGTCGGCTTGAGTTTATCTTTTCTCGACCAAATTAAATCGCAGCGACTGCGCTCTCTCTCTCTCTCTCTCTCTCTCTCTCTCTCTCTCTCTCTCTCTCTCTCTTCTGTTGCTCTTATAGGTTGATTTTGGCAAATGTTCGCGGATACTAACTGGATCTACTTGAATTTGCGGCCCATCGAGAATGCGTGTGACACCTGTCGATTGACTCGGTGCCACGTTGAGAGAGTCAACCGGAGGCTCGTCGATTATTATCGTCAATTCGCTTATCATCAATAATTGGCTTGAGTAATTTTTTTCTTTCTCAGCTATTTAGTCAACTTCTATGTACATATCGCCCGTTCTCTTGTTCATTCGATATTCGATGAATGCGCGCATCTGAGGGGGAGATTCCGATAATTTTGACGAACACGATACTTTCCGACGGTATTTTCGATAAAAACGGCTATAAAAGATAAAAAATAACCCGCGCAGTCGGTTATTGGATTGTTGATGAGGCTGGAGAAAATCAGCGGCGAGTATCGAAATTTGAATATTTTCACGCAGCTGACTCGATACATATTGTTCCTTTTTTGTTCTACGATGTATATAATACAGTGTTTATATAATTATATATATTTATATGTTTATATGTTTATATAATTATTTGAAACAATAGGTCTGCTCGCGTTGCTTGCACTTTTGACACTTTTACACCTAACGCCCGTTGCACCCTAGACTTCTCTTTAGAAAAGAGAACTCTTTTACTGGATTTCACGTTCAGGTACGAAAGTGTCAAAAGTGCAAGCAACGCGAACAAATCTATCGTGCGCGGCGTAATGGGCAAAATGTCGAGAACTATCAATATATCGAATGGTAATTCGATCCCGCCAATAATCGAGCTCTTGTGTAAATGCTGATTAGTTACCGCGGCGCCACCTGTCGCGCGTCCCCGCGTCCCGTGTGTACCTAGCCGATCCTTTTGCGTCGAGCAGCCGCCATTGATACATCAATCGACATCGCTCCGCACTTTACACGTCTTTTGCCTGTCGAAGTGAGTCTCGCGCGAGAATCGGGAGTGCCGAAAATAGCGAAATGTGCTATTCGTCGGGACGCATCGTGAGTACGCCATTAGAAAACAATCTTCTAGTTTCTCGCAGCATGCAACCGGCGTCTGTCGCTCTCAGTATTGTTTTTGACTCATATAGGCTGCGTTCGGAAATACACACTGTGTGCACACTACTAGACGATAGCCGTTGGAGTGAGCGAAATACAAGAGTGAGATAAAAAGAGAGGGAGAGTACTCGAGTGACGTTTCCGAACGTAGCCTCAATCATAGAATCAAGTTATTGTCAGATTTATTAATCGAGATTAGAAATTTAGGGATAATTACAAGGAAACAGAGAGATAACATGATGTCAGAAAGACACACGCGGCGCCAAATCTCAGTTAGGCAGCGTCGATTTGTTAGCGAGAGAGAAAAAGAGATAGAGAGGGAGAAAGATGTGCACTATAGAGCGCGACACCGTTCACGTCTTAGCGTGTAACTTACAAGTAAACCTACCCAAAAAGTACTGCGATTTATTTCTAATTTGGCAGAAATGTAGTATAAAAAATATTTAGGTCATATTTTTTTATTTTGGTCCACTTTTAGTTTCATGGCCTGTTTTAGCTTTTTAATGTTCTCACTTCTATCATCAATAAGTACCAAAAAAATGCATAAGAAATAAAATTGAATACAAGATATAGGCATTTTTGATTTGCTGATTATGAATATAAAGTCAAATATGTAAAATTATTCATATAAATAATAAAATGTTTAAACAAAACATAAAAAGTTGAAAAAGTTTTTTATACAAATAATTTCTCGGTTTAGCCAAGATTCGAACCATTTTTTTTTGACTAATTAGCACAGATTCGGTTGGAATTTCGACTAAAGAAATTTAGAATGGTTCATGTCTCTCTCAGCTATGCCGATTTTGTTAAAATTTTAATTAAAATTGCCGGATTTCTCGGTTTAGCCGAAATTCGAATCATTCTGGACTAATTCAGCACAGATTTAAAATATTTCGGTTGGAATCTCGGCTAAAGAAATTTAGAATGGTTCATGTTCAGCTATGCCGGTTTTGTTAAACTTATTTATAAATAATAAAATGTTTAAAAAAAAACATGTAAGAAGTTAAAAAAATTATGTATACAATAATTTCTCGGTTTGGTCAAAGTTCGAACCATTTTTTACTAATTTAGCATAGATTTGAAATATTTCAGTTGGAATCTCCGCTAAAAAAATTTAGAATGGTTGGTGTTTTAATTATGCTGATTTTGTTCTACTAAATAATTTTTCTTCTGTTAAATAATTTTAATATCGACGATGTATATATTACACAACTTGGTGTATTAGAATATAATTTTCACCAAGAAGATGTATTGAATACATCGTCGATATTGGAATTATTGAATAGAAACTATTTAGCACCAAACGTTCGGCGTAAACTAGGCAAATAAAAAAGCATTTGTTTATAATATAAGTCTATTTCAGATCGATCTGTTTTCATTTTTCTATCTTATTTCAATTTGATTCAGTAATCTACTTGTAGTCGAGCTAAGCTTCTTAACACATTTAATAATGTAACATGTTAATACATAAATAATAATAAATAATAATATTCAATGCTTGAAGCTTAAGTTCGCTCGCGAACTAAGACTATTCGTATTGCTCTTGCTTCCGAGGAAAAAATTAGTCAATAACGATCGTTAAATTGCGGCGCCTGCGAATAGTCGGGATCGCGCCGTGTGTTCTTCTTCGCGGGGTGCTTTAGCCGCGAATGACGGTAATCGTGGGAAGGTGGGCGGGGAAAATTGTCAACGGATAGTTGTCGATCGATCGCAATTCGACCGACCTTGCTTAGTCTCGCGCGCGAGTAAAGATACTTTCCGCGTGGAAAAATTCCAGGTGCGCGGGTTATTACGATCTCCATATAAAGCGGACGCACAATGAGTCATTTTGTACCTTGCCATTCTGAATATATGATAACTGGGCCGCGGTCGTTACGTGCACTCGCGTGTGTACGGGCGACGCGAACGTTAACGTCAGCAGGAACGCGACGATTCTTTAAATTCCGTTCACTTCAGCCCTCTCGCGCGCCTCACGCACGAATTATACAATCAATGATAATTCTAATCTTTCTCTCTTCCTTTCTCTCGCTCGCCCATTAATCCGTGCGATCACTAAACAAGGAATTATATCGTTCATGTTCCTCCATCCGAATAATTGAATTCATTGAAATTAATTAATTCAACGCAGGTCTCTCTTATGTTCTCATCTCTCGGCAAGATTAAAACGTCCGTGCCCGATCGATCAACGGTAAAAGGGCGCGGCATATACGTATCATAATTAATTATCAGTTACGATCGTAGCTGCTATTCGAAATGTGATTTCGATTCGTTATACGCCGCGGCCCATTTATGCCTCCGCCGCGGAGTTTGTTCCGCGTATATTTACCGTGAGCTCATGAATTTACACGTTCATTTGCATGTTGCATTACACGCGCGCGATCGTGTGGAATCATTAATACTCATTTTAGTAATACCGTAACGTCAATATTTTGCCGGTAATTAGGATCGTCCTGGGCGAAAAGGGACGATTCTAATTTCGGCCTGATTTTAACCCGTAGTCTGCAACATCTGGTTCTCTTCTTACAGTTCGTCCCTGCTGCGCGGTTGCCCATGAAGTCCACGTACGACGCTGCCAGGAGCAAAGATCGATCGTCGATCGCCGTGGTCCTCGCCGTCGTTGCTGACTCGACGCAAGCTCGCTGTCGCACGATCCGCTGGAGCTCTAGATGAATCACGATCTACCGTCGTGCTCGAATCGAATCACAGACCGACCGAAACATGTACAAGATACTGCGCCGCGGCTCCGGCCGCGTGTTCGTCCTCTGCATCGTGCTCCTGTCGCTCTTGCTGTGTCTGTACTACGTCAGTCAGGTACAGGCGCCGTCCACCGGCCATCCCGCGGCCATCCTGAACGAGGAGCTCAGGTACGACCGCAGTCTGACCTCCGTCACTCCGGATTACAGCGAGTCGCCGGACGCTCAGGTGTCCCTCGCCACCTGTCCCATAATCGTGCCGCGCAACGCGGACATCGACGCCCAGCAGGAGTTCAGCAAGTTCGACTTCCAAGTAAGTCCTTACGTTTGCTTTGTTCGTGTCGTAGAGAGCGTCCGTGCTCGCTTTTCCGTGTTTGCGCCTTTTTACTCCGTAATTCCTCCTCTTCTCCTTTATTTTCTTCTTAAAAACCTGTTTCGAAGTATTTTTTTCTCGACACGTATATCGCCCGTCACTCGATCCGTACTTTCCCCTTCTTGCGCGACTCGGAGGTATGACTTTCGATTTTACTTGTAAAATACTCGGCTCGAGAGCTCCTTGTGCAAATATTCGAGACGATTGTCTCGCGATCTTTCTCGTCAGAGCTTTCCTTGAACTTGCAGTGTGGAAGTTACCGTAGCCGAAATTTCGATTTTACATTAACCCCGAAAATTTTCAATCAAGTTTAAGAAACTACAATGAAGAATCTCGAAACGTAACACTAGTACAGGCTATTCTTTCCTGTCACAAATGGTTACTTATCGTTGTTTTGTGGGAATCTAAAGAAAGTCTTGTTTAAGAATTAATCGATATTCTTAAATCAATTCTTATTGATGTCTACACAACTATTATTTTCGACTTTATAACTTTTATGAAAAATTTTGATAAAGTTTATAATTTTATTTAGACATTAATCCTGTTCTTTACCAACATTTTATGTTTAATATTATTGTTTAATATCTGCTTATAATACATATTCTATCTATTCTATCTTTAAACTGAATAATATGAACAATTTATTGCTCATCAAAATATAAAATAATTAAATGCTTGTAGAATATTTAAAAAGTAATGGAATATCAAATAATTTTGTTTTTTCAAGTCTCAATATAGAGATAGCAAGCACTAAACAACTATTTGTAGCATCAAAGTTTAGAAATAACCTATGTATTTCAAGGTCTTTTTCATTAATCCTTCAAGATCGTCGGTTTTTGCAGGATTAATATAAAACCAATATTTTGTCTCCGAATTTTCTCGGTGAATCGAGAGACAGGCGTATCTGGATGTGTGCTTTCGATGCATCAAGTATAGAAGGAACATTTCACGAGTTTGCGAGAAATAAAGAGAGAGAGTTTGAGAGAGAGAGACCGACCAAATCTGCTGAAGAGCGAGATTTTTGTACGGTTGAACGTACAAGTAGCAACTCGTCTGGGAAAATCCTTCGAATTCATTCGCGAGTTTCTTGCGAATCGATCGAAGCACCTCGCGAAGTTGGCAAAAACTCACAACGACGGTACTAAAAATCGAGAGTTAACGCGCGGCTTTTTATTTTCGAAATAGGAAAAGCCGCCTGTAGAAGACTTTCCGCGGTGGTGATCGCGGCGGCCACAATTTGCAGAAGAGCCGAAATGCTAATGAATTGACTATCAGACATCCGCGCGGCTTTTTCCCTTATCCTCGCGATTATCTTCGGCGTACCCCCTAGACACGGGGTATTTATGTTCGCGAAAGTTTCCGCGGAATATATACGAGCGGCAAAATTTTATACCAATACCTCATGGACGGCGCGCTAAGACCGGTCGTTTTAAAAGTACCGCGTCATTAGCCGCGAAACTTTCTTGGTCCCCGCGAGAGTCTGTGAACTTCACTGATTTAATGGTCGGCCATTGCAATAAAAGGATCTTTACATTCACGTTCGACGCAATAAAGAGGCCAGCCGCCGCATATTTTCCTGCTCTGGAAAATTTTGACGAATAATTCGTATTCGATACGCGGAACGGAATACGACTATGTGAACTCTCTTCTTTAAGTTAAAAAGAAAAATATTAAATGAATTAAGTTCACGGAGCAAATGAATGCACTCCCCTTCATCTGTCGATTTATTTCTGTTATCGGATTAACGTTATTAAGTTCCGACTACCTTTAATATTCTCTTAGTCATCGCTCTTGATAAGCGCCGCGTCTGCTACCGCCCCTGGCGCGCCTGATAAGCGGAAGCGGAGTCTACAATTCAAATCTTCTCATGTTCGTCTAATTACAGAGGAACCGGCCGCCATTCTCCGGTGCTTAGCTGCTCTCGCAGTAGTAATTTCCGACATTGTATACTTGCGGCGGTTTATAATCGGGATACGAAGAAGCATTGGTTTCGGTACTTAACAAGCTTGACTGCGTTACGGAATATCGTTGAAGATCTCTGACTTAATAACATGACGATAATGATCCTTATATACACCATCCGTTAGAGCCACATCCGCGTCCGCGAAAGTACGTTTACGTGATTCAAAGCAAGATATAGAAGAGTGACAGGTGTATAATCGGGACGTCTCTCGAGAAAACGCGCGAAACGAAATTGCGCTGGCGCAGGAATCGTTCTTGCGGACCTGTTTAATCAACGAAAAAGGGTGGCAGAAAACGCAACACAGATTCTAACGTGTCTCTGTTGGATCCATCCAACGTTAGATGATATCTCGATTTTATAAATCCCAGAGGAAAATATGCGAGGAATGAATTGTGCGGTTGGAAGGGATACATATTGAGGTCAGTCATCCCTACCAAGCACACAATTTATTTCACATGTACACATTTCCCTCTTTGTATTCACACACAACTCTCTTCCTCTAAAAAAAATAAAAAAATAAAAAAAACAAAACAACGGAGACATTTTGGAATGTAACGTTAGGTGACTCATCCTGTGCCATTAGTTAATTACTCCGGGCGAAATTGAGTTCGCCAATTTCCTCCATGCTGCTTTTTTTTCGCAAAGCTCACTTTCACTGAACCGCGACGAGTAAAAAATATTATTACAGACAGATGTGGCTGCCAATGGACGGGGATTGTAGCATTTGAACTTGTTACGCGAGTTCAACGTGGTGTAGACAAAAAATACGGGGCCACCCTCTCTCTCTCTCTCTCTTTCTCTTGCGCCGCGCTTTAATTCAATTAACCGCGCTCGCGCGTCAACGAATTCGCCGGGGCGTCGCGCGCTTCGCGAGCGAACGGACGAATCGCGCGGGAAAAAAAGTGCCGAATCGAAGTATCTCGAGCGTCGTGCGCTCGTCCGCGATCTCGTTCATCGATTATTTATGGTCTCGCGTGACGGACGTGCGGTAGGGGCGCACATATTCCTCTCTTTCTCTCTGTTCCGAAATTTCTATCGACATGCACGCGCGCCCGGTAATTTGGCGACGCTGCGTGAATCGAGTTTGTTGTCGCGTTTATACGGGTGTCTCTCTACGGCGCAACTTGTCACTTGGCGTTTCTGATAATGCGACCGAACTTTCGCGTAACCATAATAAAGCGTTGCTTTTTTCGCGTGTTGTTGTTGTTTTTTTTTTTTGCTTTTGTTTCCTGCGCTTTACGATCCTCGTTGCGCCGGTTTCCCGGTTCGTATCGCCGCGGCGTGTTTTAATTTTTCAACTGGGCGAACTGCGTGAGAAGTTTTTTTTTGCGCTTACTCTCCCGGGACGTACGTTATTCCCCTCTCCACCACACCCCTCCTCGCGCGAGAAGGTTGAAATCACAACTCGCTGTCGCAAATTTCTGTTCTTTTATTTTTCTACTCTCCTGCACTCCGATGTTTGTTCCGACATCCGCGGCGGCGGCCAAAACGTAACGGTATGAATTCTTTATATAGATTCGAACGCGCTCGTATGTATATAATTCGCGATATTAATTGGATGCTCGGCGTCACGTCGCGTCGCGGCGACGCGCCGCGCCTCTGCTGTCGGTCGGAAAATCGGTCAAAGCGTTTTTGTGCGAAAAACGCGATATCAGCGTCGCTGTGCACGAGTGGCGGCGGCGACGACGGCGGCGGCGACGACGGCGGCGGCGGCGGCGGCGAAGGGGTTCTGAAAAATTGCTCTTTGCCGGCCCGACGGGAAGACTAATCGAACGTAAATTCATACGTCGCGTGGTAATCTACTTGAACCAACGATCCCGATATGTCAGTTACACACGGTGAAAGGCAAATCGGGTTACGTCGCAATGAGCAGTGGCGGCGGCGGCGGCGGCGGCGGCGGCTAACAACGTTTCGAATTCGAGTTGCAAATCGAATTTGCCGTTATCGCACCCGCGCTGAAAATCGCGTCCCGCGCACAGTAGAGTATACGTGATCTCCACGTGCGTGCGTACGTCCATCTGTCCGTCTGTCTAATCCACCGTCTCTGCCGGCGGATTGGCCGCGCGACGGGAGCTAATTGCGCTTAATTGCCGCTCAAGGACGCTCGTTAATGCGCTTTAATTCCACGTCGCCGATCGCGCGTTAGCGTGGCCGTCGCAGCGCATCGACGACGGAGGCGGCGGCAGCCGGGCACGGAATTTCGATAATGCCTGTTGTGCGGCGCGCGCTCCCGGAACGAAGGAGTTACTTAGGACGGCGAAAACTTCCTTTGAGACTTCCCGCCGCGAGCTCCGACGTAGAGTCGCGCTCATCCGTTCGAGCGTTTATTGCGCAGATTGAATGAAGTTTTCCTTGCCGGGCGGGTAGTGGCGACTAATAAATGCGTACATCGAACTTTCGATACACATACACAGGGCTCGCCGATGCGCGCGAATGGGACGGAATAAATACGCGAGTAATATCGGGCGTACGTGCGGCACGAGCGAGCGTCGGCAAGTTGGAGGTAAACCCGGCGCGCGCGATATAATAACGAGGAGAACTAATTAAAGTTAATGTAGTGTGCCAATTTCAGCGCGCGTGTAATTTAATCGCGCATCTTTTGCTTCTAAATACGCATAATTTAATATTCCGCATTAATGATTACGCCCCCAAAACGCTCGTAATTACACTATCTGTGCGTTACGGGCGGAGAAACAACATAAATGTTTCTTCAGCTCCGAATATTTCTCCGCAAATCGATTATTCCCGAGCATTTTTAATGAGATCCGGCTGTGTGGGCTTTGCCGGCTCTATGAAACTGTCATTAGATATATATATCCAACGAATCAATTGGTTTCCATTTCGAAAATGGCTCGCTGGCGCCATAATCAGGAGTATAACGTAATCTCGCGCGGACGGCGCAGTTTGCAGCGAGTGAGTTGCATATTGATGATCGTATTGACGGCCGTGCACTCAAAGAGCAAAGGGTTGCATTTAT